GAAGATGTAGCGCAGATCACCGCCCTGATACCCAAAGCCATAAACTTCGCCTACGTCGACGAAGCAATGTTACAGATCAATTTGATGGGCTCAGAAGACAATCTACACGGCAGACGGACCACAGATTTCGCGATCCTAGAACCCGAACCGGATAAAGGCGAGCATAAAGAGGTGCTGCTGTTTGAATTCATCGACGGTGATTTGAAGCGTCAGGTCCAACATAAGAAAACAGGGGAGCCTACGAAGGCTACGACGAAGTTGAGGAATGAGGATCTCAAGATGCCGGTGTACAGTCAGAAGCAGATGATGAATTTGATTGAGAAGAGGAATGCCAAGTTTACGTCGGCGGTTAATGCGTTTTTGAATCAGTGTGCTGAGGAGGGGGCGGATTCGGTGGAGAAGATTTTGGAGGTTTCGAAGGCGTTTGTTCCTGTGGAGACTGCGAGTCGGCACTCTAAGCCTGGCCCGGACAGAGCACTTATACCAGCTTCCATACCCGCGGAGCGGAAGCCGATCCCCGATATCCTGAACGAGATCAAGACGCTGGAGTGGTATACAGGGCAGATCGTGCCAGATGGCCACCGTGTTTTCGACCCTCAAGAAGCTGTCTTCGGCGACTTGAACTTCGCCATGTCGCAGAATCTCGTCAACGCGCTGTATAACACGAGGAACATCACTCAACTCTACGCTCACCAGGCGGAGGCCATCAACAATCTTTACGATGGACATAATGTCATTGTGTCTACTTCGACGAGTTCGGGTAAATCTTTGATTTATCAGATACCCGTTTTGCATCAATTGGAACAGGAGCCTAATACGAGGGCTATGTATATTTTTCCGACGAAAGCGCTAGCCCAGGATCAGAGGAAGAGTATGAAGGAGCTGTTAAGATTTATGCCGGGGTTTGAACAGGTGCTGGTAGAGACGTTCGATGGCGACACCCCGATGAGTGATCGCAACTATATTCGAGATGAGGCACGCATCATCTTTACGAATCCGGATATGCTACACATCACTATCCTGCCGCAAGAAGATGCCTGGCGGACTTACCTCCAGAACCTACGGTTCGTAGTGGTAGACGAATTGCATGTATACAACGGACTGTTTGGAGCACACATGGCGTTTATCATGCGCCGTCTACGGAGGATATGTGCGGCGCTGGGAAACCGGCATGTCAAGTTTATCTCCTGCTCGGCTACAGTCGCGAATCCTGAAGAGCATATGAAGACTATTTTCGGTGTTGACGAAGTCAAGTTGACTGACTTTGACGGGTCGCCTTCTGGACGCAAAGAGTTTCTGTGCTGGAACACGCCGTTTAAGGATCCTGGTGATCCTACGTCTGGACGCGGCGATTGTATGGCGGAGACAGCGAAGCTGTTCTGTCAACTCATGTTGAGGGGCGTCCGAGCCATTGCGTTTTGTCGTGTGCGGAAGCAGTGTGAAGCGCTGCTTGCTGCTGTCAAGACTGAGCTCACCAATCTAGAAAGACCGGAAGTAATTGCTCGGGTTATGTCGTATCGAGGCGGGTATACACCGCAAGATAGACGAGAGATCGAACGAGAGATGTTCGACGGCAAGCTCTGTGGTATCGTGGCTACTAGTGCGCTGGAGCTTGGTGTCGATATCGGATCCCTGGATGCTGTCGTTACGGTCGGGTTTCCTTACACCATTGCCAATCTGCGTCAACAAAGTGGTCGTGCTGGACGGAGGAATAAAGACTCGCTATCCGTTCTAGTCGGCGATTGCTTCCCTACCGACCAGTACTACATGTCGAACCCGGACGAGATTTTTACCAAACCTAATTGCGCACTCCAAGTTGATCTGGAGAACATGCTCGTCCTAGAAGGCCACGTCCAATGCGCCGCCCACGAGATGCCCATCAACGTCGAAGTAGATACCAGCTATTTCGGCCCCCTCCTCCCCAAGATCGCCCGCGAGCGCATGCGCCGCGACAAAGAAGGTTTCTACCACGTCAATACACGCTTCCTCCCGCAACCCTCACGCACGGTCGCAATCCGCGACACCGAAGAAGACCACTTCGCCATAATCGACGTAACCCACGGCAAAAACACCGTACTCGAAGAACTCGAAGCCTCACGCGCCTTCTTCACCCTCTACGACGGCGGCATCTTCCTCCACCAAGGAAACACGTACCTCGTCAAAGAATTCAGCCAAGAACGCATGCTCGCAAAAGTCGAATACGTAAAAGTAGACTGGACAACCCAACAACGCGACTACACGGACATTGACCCCGTGGAAACAGAAGCGATCAGGCGCATACCTGGTTCCAGGTCGAAAGCTTTCTACGGGCCTATCAAGATCCAACAAGTCGTGTATGGCTTCTTTAAGATTGATAAGAAAAGGCGGATTTTGGATGCTGTGCAGGTTGATAATCCGCCTATTATACTGTTTAGCAAGGGCATGTGGCTCGACGTGCCCAAATCCGCCCTCGATATCTTGAGGTCAAGGAGATTGAACATCGCAGCGGGGATTCATGCTGCTGAACACGCCGTCCTGTCTCTCATGCCCAACTTCGTCATCTCCATGCCCGGCGACGTCCGCACGGAATGCAAAGTCCCCGAGAAAGAGTTCCTGGCGAAGGAATCCACAAGGAAAAGACCGGCGCGACTTACCTTCTACGACGCAAAAGGGGGTGCGAGCGGCTCAGGGATTAGTACCAAAGCCTTTGAGTTCATCGATACCCTGCTTGAGCAAGCATGTCAACGCCTCACATCCTGCCACTGCCTCGAAGGCTGCAACGAATGCTGCAACGACGACGCGTGTAAACAGCATAACCAAGTCATGTCCAAAGCGGGCGCTATGGTCATTATCATGTGTTTGCTCGGCCGCGAACATAAAATCGACATCGATGCGTTGCCGTGGGGTGAGGAGGATGTCGAAGCGGGTTTCGATACGGTGGTTGAGGCTGTGGGGGTGAGGATGGCGGAGGGGAGGACGAGGGATGGGGGTGTTTTGCCCGGAGAGGGGGATGGTGGGGAGATGGTGGATGGGAAGGGGGAGGAGATGGTTAGGGCGAAGTTGGTGGATGGGGTTTGGATTAAAGAGGAAGAGGAGGAGGAGGATCATTTCTCGAGGAGCATTCATATGTATAGGGGGGAGAGGACGTTTATTGGGGTGCATAGGAAGTGAAGGATGAGGGAGTAGCGAGTGTGGTTTTGTGTTAAATGAGCGGGTGTTAGAGATATCCCAGATACTTTTGGTCATGAAGTTTCTACTGATGTGTTGTGTTGAAGTGAATAAGGCTTAGGTCAGAAGGGTAGGTTATGACGTTCTCCGCATTATAAACAAGGCTGTCAGCAGAGAGGAATAAAGATGGCATTTAGATTAAGCATCAGTCATATTCGTAACCCCCCCGAGAGGGAACTACAACAAGAAAGAAAAGCTAGAGTAGAGAACCATACCAGCGTAACAGAGCAATCTCCAGACAGGAGCTTCCTTGTCCAATTCATGAACACGTCCTTAGACCCATATCTCATACAAGCCCAATCATACAGAAGGAAAACTTCCCAACCCATAAACGCCGCGCAATGCAACACACACCCATCCTGACCATATCCCCAGCTTAATTGTACCGCCTACTCTTACTAGCCCACTCCTCCTCCCTCCTCTTCTTCTCCTCTTCCAACTTCTTCAACTCGCGCGCCACACCCCCACTAGCCCTCCACCAAACATCCGTACCCGTCCTTATCAACCTCTCAGCCGCACTAACCGGCCCATCAACCGCCGGCCTAACATCCAAGAAGAAAACCGGTTGTTCGTCTGCCTCGCCCTCGCCCGACGCTTCTGATGTTTCCGGCGCACCCTCATAGTAATCAATAACATAACGAATCTCTTTACACCCCTTCTCATTACAGCGCTCGACAAACCAATCGTGGCGATCAAACGGCGGCGCCGTACCGAATTTCTCCGGCATAACATAACCCAGCCACTGCATAATCGTTGCTTTGGGCGTCGGTTCCGTGGGGCGACCCGTAAACCTGAGTAGTTTCGGGGGCTGAACATCCCTATGATCCCACGTCGTCGTATCAAACGGATCCTCATGCGTGCCCAGTTTGAAATTCGCGACGTCCTCGCCTTGCTTGCATATCTCATACCCTTCTTTCAACCCTCTCGAGAACCTTCGTTCCCAGCCCATGATCTCCGCCCACGCGCCCTCGTTGAGGAAATTGTGCACGCCGACCATGCTTTCCACGGCTGTGATGTCGGTGTCTGTGTAGCCTTTGCGCAGCATGGCGTTGTACATTTGCTGGGGGGAGGGGTACTCCCAGAGGGTGCCGTCGCCTTTGGGAATCGTGGAAGTCTCGCGGTCGAGGGGGAGGTTGACGGATTGGGTGGAGGCGCGCTCGTTGGAGAGTTCGGAGAACATGTTGTTGAGGGGGTTGAAGCGCGAAAGGAGGCCTTGCTTTGGGGGTGGCTCGGAGGCGCTGGTGGAGGCATTCTCAGGTGGGACGTAGGGGCAGGCGCCGGCGGGTGTCTTCTTTTCGGCGACGACGGGCGGGACGGGTTTCTTGTGCATCGGGCATTCTGGCTGGTGGGTTGTTAGTGGGGAGTGTGTATGGGGCGTGGGAGGGCGTACTGGAGGTTCCATGCTGCTCATGCTGCCTCGAGGCATGGCGTGCGGCGCAACACGTGCAGCAGGTGCGGCGGGTGCGGTGTCTGCCCAAAACCAACCCATGGTGAGTATTCGTATGGAAAGAGTAGTACGGCAAGAAGAAGAGGCAAGCAAGGGTATATAGGGCTGAAGAAGATGTGACGGGTGGCGGAGATTATCGGGAAGAACAATTTCGTGCAGGGTCCTCGTCGTCATCGCTCTAAGCGCGTTAGGCGTACTCCGATTGGCTCGACACGTCAATGCAGTGAAAGTCGATTTGGAAGCTATATTTGGATTTCTTTTTGGTGATGTCTGGATATCGTACGCATATGCGCAAATGTTCTACATATCTTGATCAAGACGCCTTGAAATGTGCTCGACCATATTCTTATGATCCTGCCGCCTTTGCCAACTGGCCAGTGCCCCGCGAGCTGAAGATAGCCATGATACCAAAACTGCCATAGAACAGAACCATGGGGTACGCTACCAGTCCGCGCATGGAAGTCATGCGTCCTACGAGACGTGTTAGTTCCCATCAAAAACCCCATCGGAAGGCTCGACTTACCAACAACGGTGAACATGGAACTGGAGCTGTAGGAACACCATGTGATGGCCAGGCTGGTCAGAAGGTATCCAAATAGCCCGTCAAGCGGCACAATGATTCCAAACATCGATACCAGAACGAGAGGGAGCAGACAGTATCCGAGCACCGATGCCGATCGTGGGAACGTTAACGAGGAGCCGAGATGCGAGCCATGCGGGTGACCGTGGTCTCCTGGAGTCGCTTCGACGACAGGCGGGGACATGAGCGAGAGGATCTGGTGGAGGAGGATCGTGCCAACGAATGCCAGGCCTACTTCTGTTAGCTACTGTCTTTCTCCAAGCAGCTGTTTGACTTACCGTAGATGTAACCGAAATGAAGCTTTCCAGACAACTACTCCACGTTAGCTCTCATTTCTTTCTTGATATCGTGTCTCATACCAGTAACGACGTCCCAAAGATCAAGAAGAACAGTATCGGCCCTGCCACATCGCTGTCGTCCATGATATGTTGATCGATCCGACCGAACGGATTCAGCACAGCCAACGTCTTCATCTGTATATGCCTGAAGTTCACTCCCAACTCTTCCAGTAGCGGCGGCTCCCCGTCGTATCCTTCCGTGCCAAAAGCCGCCAGCCACCCCGTCCGCAGCCCCGACACGCCCATACCCATCTGCCCACTCACGCCCGGTGCAGCAAACCCCGCGCCATACTGTGCGGGATACGCTTGACTCGCCGGTGCGCCGTAGTTCGCTTGAAATGGTGTGGAATGGCCAGACACTGGCTGGTTCGAAAATGACGACGGGTAGAATTGGAGGTTTTGCGCATTCCCAGCGCCGTATTGCGGGTTTTGTCCGTAGCCGTATTGCGCCATTGTCTGATATGCGAGTGTGTGAGATTTAGCGACGAAGAGCAAGTGTCGGAATGTAGCGATCTGGCGTTGGCTAGGTCGTGCAGCTGGTGCCTGGCGGAGGTGGAGCGGACGTGTCCTGGGGAGATGTGGTACGTGGAGCGAGAGACGACGTCACCGGGGATATTTGCACGGAAAGGACAGATTGCGTGAAACGGGGGTGTTGGGTTTGGAAAGGGAGGGCTCGCGCGCTGAAGTGGGAAGAAGACAATTGTTTGTTTGCAATGTTGGGGCTCAATCTGGCAGCCACATGTCATCGTGTGCATCGGCCCTGGCCAGTCGTCCACAGGCCGATGGGGGCTTGGCAGCGACACGAGGACCAGAAGCAAAGCTAACGCTGTGACTATTTGACAACCACGTCTAAGCTATAGTTCTATGAACCTTATGGATGTTTACTCGTTACGTTTCTCATGCTCAACATGGGATTAGCATAATGGAGGGGGGTCCGCTAACTGGGCCGATATTCTGGCGAATATAACGCAACGGCTTGAATCCCTCCTGCATCACCCAGTCCAAACCAATAACCGTACCCTCTTCATTGCGTATGAATACCAGGAGAAATTGCTCGTAGCTCGAGTAATCCACCAAGCATCTTGTCTCCATCTCGTCGCTCGATTCAGGCAAAAAGCTAAACGTGTGGGACTGGTAGTGTTCCAGAAGATGGCACTGCGAATCCATGCGATTCCGTTTCATCTCCAATTGATCTTCACTTATCTTGTACACATGAATAATTCCCTGTATGTCTTCGTTCCGGTACGTCCCCTCAAGGCTTTCGAGATGGGGACATTGCGTATTCAACATGCGGTTCTTCTGCAAATCGTCTTTCATCTTGGTATATCGGTTCAGACTACTGGTAGATAGCTTCTCCGCCCTCATACCGAAATCCACTTCCGGGGTCATATCGAAGAGTGATTGGACGAACATCTGAGCAACGAGATCAGAGCAGTCTCCAGCACTCTGCGCGTTGGTCAGGACGACCACAGCGGATTTGGTCTCCGGAAAGAGATAGATCGAGTTGAGATATCCGGTCACCTGGCCTCCGTGGTATAGTGTCAGCTTCGGCCGCGATCCTCGCCCGATGACATCGTCTCTATTTGGGCCGTTGGTAGACAACCACCCAAGTTGTGTCGAGGGAATCATGTGTCTTGCCCATCCAAATGCGTACGAGTTCTCGTTGATGGTATCGTTCGTCACGGATATCTTGCGAGACGTGATTTGGCTGATTCGCCTTAGCGGGTTTGTCGATGTGCTTTGCGCGTCCGTATGGTCGTCGTGGTGTACTGCTTCGTATTGATCTGTGTTGAGACTCAATCCTTGGATGGCCTCAATGGTGCTCTTCTCCGTCTCCTCTTCTTCCAACCGTTCCATTACTGCTTGCGACCAGATGAGCATTTCCGGAACGTTCGACCAAATCGCCATTGCAGCTCCACAAATAGTCTTGTCTGAAACTTGAGGCATTCGTAAACGTACTGGTCGCCTGTCGTGCAAGACCGTATGCCCCTCAGCCAGATTTCCACCCTCGACTTTCCATCGAGAACACGTCGATTCACTCATTCCGAGAGGCTCAAAGATTCTCTTCTTGACGAACCCTCCCCAGCCATCCACGGCATCCTCGCCGCCTACCGCTTTAATCACTTTACCCACCAGAGCGTAAGGCCAGTTGGAGTAATGGAATCCGGTGCGGAATGTGTCGTGAACTGGCATGTTGGCAGTGATATGTAATAAATCTTCTGGAAGAAGCAGTTCTGCGCCTGCTGCGCCATACCACGCGATGTCGAGCTGTGGAAATCCGCTGGAATGAGAGAGGGCTTCTGATAGACTCATGTGTTTGCCTATGGCAGGATCTTTGTTCTGGGTAAAGGGTATGTATGTGGATAGCGGTTCGGTCCAGCTCAGTTTGCCCTCGTCGACGAGTATACCACAGGACGCGGCGATGAAGGCCTTGGTGAGTGATCCGATCATATAGAGAGTTGAATTGTTGACCGGGACATAATTTTCGTTCCGATCAGCGAATCCTTGACTGTGCTGGAGGATGATCTCGCCTTCGTGGAGGATGCCGATGGAGATAGAAGGACATCCGGTGATGCCCATCAAATTCTGGACTTGAGGCAGACAAGCCTGTACTCTATCGCAGCATCAGTACAAGTCCTATCATGATATCGGCATCGTTAGAGTGACCATACCTCTTCTTTGCTGCGGTAGGATCCATGACTTATCCGCGGACTGATAGTGATAAGTGATAGAGCGACTCCCGTTATGCGAAACACTGGAGACAGGTAGCTTTGCTGGATAAAGTATCGACCGAACAATAAACGCAGGTGAAGGTGAGGAAGTCGAGGACGACAGCTACGGACGTGTTGACGTGCCGCGGATAGGCGACGACGCAAACAGGCAGGAGCGTGTCTGCCGAAACGGGCTAGATCGACCACGCCCATATTCTGCATGATGCATAGGTGAAAGAAGGAACGAACGATCACAGAGCGAAGCCGCACCGCAGATTCGATGCTAGACAAGTAAGTATGCGAGATGTGGTTTGCATATTTCGGAGAAGTAGGTTCGGGAATTGTGTCCATAGATTTGAGGGGGGTATCTAGTCCTAATACGAAGAGGGGAGGGAAGTCATCAATCATAAATCATAAATCCAGCCATAGCTGTGGTCGCAAGCGGTGCGTTTGCTGTTGGCCGAGGAGGTATCCAAGCTCTACTCAAGCGACGAAAGCCAAGTTCAATACATTTCCCTGGTCCTCCGCGAGGTATAGTTGCACCAGTCGCACTGTGAATGAGTTAGTGTAGATCAATGCATTGTGTTGCACTATACTAACCAGTGTGTCGGAAGACGCGTCGTTGTCCTCACGGCAATACTCGTTGTTGCATTTCCTGCAGGTGCGGATGAAAAGCTCCTTGCAGCTGATGCACGTATGGCCACAGCCAAAACAGTCACGTCTTACGCCGATAACCTGTGTTTCTTCACGTCAGCCTATTTCTTGACCAAAGAGTGAGCACATACCTTGGCGCGCAAGTGCCAGTCTCCAGGTGCAATTATCCAATATAGCCAGGCTCCGGGTTCCGGAATCCAACTACATCGTAACGGCCTCATGGTAGCATCGCTGCTCGCGCGCCAAGGTAGGTCCTTCATCCCCACATCCCGTCGCTACCGGCTCCGGCCATCATTTCCTCACGGAGGCAGTGTTCCACGCAGAGGCCCATATGTACCTTGATGGTTTGCTTGGGGAGCAGTTGACTGGTCCCGTCGGGTTTGAAGCTCTCGGTGAGCTCCGTCTGCTGTAGCTCCGTACGCTGGGCGGTAGCCGATCCAGTGTAGCAGTTCTCATCCCACCATTTGTGACATCTCTCGCACCAGCGTCCTTTCAGGCAGTCCTCGCATCGCACTATGAGAGGTGGAGGGGCGGATCCGTCGAGAGTGTGTGGTATTTGCGCGGCGCGTACGGAGGACCCATGAAGTGGTACCGGACTGAGTAGCGGATGATGCGACGGACTGGAGTCGCCAAACACTGCCGGGCCTTCTGGAGAGGAGTGGCATGTCTCGCAGCCAGCCGGACCTAGCGCTACAGTGGCTACTGTAGGCCGCAGGAACGAGGATGGATGGGGTGCGCCATCTGCAGTCGCGTCTCTGACGTACGCCTTGCTTGGGTCATGGCGTGGTCCTCTGCACAGAACGGCGTCGAAAGCGATGATGCCTTCGCACGCCTGGAGAATCTCTGCCCATTCCGGCGACGGCCGCTTCGGTATGATCTTGCCAGAAGACTGGTACCACTTGTCCTCGGTCCGCGCCAGTACAGCTTCCAAGGCCTGCTGCGACTTCTCGTTCCATTGCGCACCGATCTGCGCCCCTTGTGAAGTCGTTACGCCCTTGGGAATATGTGGAGAGGGCTTCTTCGTGACAGGCGAAGCAGGGCGCGGGGTTCGATCGCGGTTGCCAAAGATGTAGATGCCTTTGACTCGAGGGGTGCCTGCAGGTCTGGACGGTCGGACCGCATATCGCAGGTATTGCTGGAGCTTCCGCTCGTTCAAATGTTTGGCTTCGCGAATCGAGAGTACGCGGACGTTGAAGCGTTCCTCAGTAAGCAGTTCCTTGACTAGTTCGGCTGTTACGCTGAGCCCGTCTAGTACGAGCGTATGGACATTACGTAGGACGTGTAGCTTCTCGAGTCTGTTGAAGATGTGACGTAGAGGGCCGCTATAGAAGTCGTCTTCGGTGAGGGCTTCGTCCATCCGCTCAGCGCGGAAACTGGTACCGCCGATATCAAGAGGTCCATCGAAGGGTACAATAGCAGACTTCACCGGAGAGAGATCCAAGTAGCGAAAGGCCTCTGGCGACTGGAAGACAACATGGTGGAGGGATTTGCAAGTTCGCGACAGGTTACGGAGAGCAGATATTGGCAGGTACGGGGCAGTTTGGCGCAGGATCAAGGTGTTGGAAAGCAGGTCCGCCAGGGATGTAGGAAGGTCGTCACTGAAAGTGGAAGGGCCCATGGTGAGGGCTCGGGGAATGCAACCAGAGAAGTTTGGCCAGAGGTCAGATGGGTACTCACCGAATCTTTATTACACAGCGCGAGGGCAGGGCGGAGTAGCACGTGCCACTGATCTGACACTGCAGGTGTGTGTTGGATGAGCAAAAGGAAAGACTAATCGAGGTTGAGACGCTGCAGGAGATGGGGTTGTGGGTGCGTGGGATACCGCCGATGCTTCGTTCCCTGCGGCGATCGCAAGCGCAAGACCCTGCCAAGAGCCGTGGTAGCAGGACACGCAAAGCTTCCTGCATAGGACCTGCACGATCAGGCCGCGATGAAGCATAGATTGGAACACGTCTTGCAGCCAAGCCCGCGCTGCAAGTCTTGGTGGTCGAGTGGAAACAGGCTAAAACAGTCGCTGCGAGATGTCAGGTAGGCGACGCGACGCGCAAAGCCGCCGGGGGATGTTCGCCCCACGTTGGCCGCTTAGAACATGAATCGACATATCGAAACTCACCGGAGCATTGGCATGGACGACACAGATATGGTTTAGGTGCCCGGAGAGATTCTCGCATCTTTGTTGAGACGCGTACTTATGTTGATCAATTATGATGAATTATTCAAACACGTCTACACATATATGGGCTGTATGTTGCGAGATACTCTTGTATGCTCGTGGCTCTATCGGTGTGTCCAAGAAGCTTAGTCACCGCCTCGCAGTTGCATCGGGAAACCATCGCTTGCACTGTGAAAGATGGTAGACCAAATATAGAATATACATGACGACTACGATTGGTGAAACTAGAGTTCTGCTCTATACTTTCAACGGTGGCGGTATCTTTACGCGTTACCACGCGAGGGTTATCGATAAGCGGGCCGAGGCGAGGGCAGCGCGATGACGCCAGTCATTCACCGAAGCTTCGAGTCGCGAGGCGCATATGTCAGCCATTTCACGCCTCTGAACTACAACGTACCCTCATTCATGTGTTCCCACCACAGTCATTACCTTGACCTCTCTATACCTGACGCAAAACAGCCATGGACCCGGAGGTAGAAACCGCAGAGCTGAAGTGGTCCGCGCAATACGAACTCGCTCATGCGACGCGAAGCACGCTACCCGGCGACAAACTACTCCTTCCCCCATCAGCGTTAGAGCAGCTCCTTGCCGCGGCACCTGTCGTACACGTCGATGCGAATCGACCGCACATCACCGCATTCGATCCTTTCAACCCGTACACCTTCAACGCCGAGCGCCACGCACGAGCACAAACGCAGGACCGCTTCCAGCAGCTGCCTCATCCGCTTACCTTTCGCTTGGTCAATCCGGACAATGGCAGAGTTGTACATGCAGGCATACGCGAGTTCTCCGCAGAAGAGGGCGAGGTTGTCTTGAGCAGTTTCCTGAAGGAGGCTTTGGGAATCAGAGAGCAATCTGCAGAGCCATCGAGAAATGCCAGCCCAAATGGCCAGGATGAAGATGACGTGGCTATGTCGAATGGAGCAATTCCTCTGGGGACAGAAGGTGCTGCATCTACAAAGATCACAGTACATGCCAAGCAATTACCCAAGGGCACCTTCGTAAAGCTACGGCCTCTCGAAGCTGGCTATGACCCGGAAGATTGGAAGTCGCTACTGGAGGAACACCTGCGATCCAACTTCACAACCTTGACGAACGGAGAGGTCCTAGCTATAAACGGTGGTCGAGGAGTTGATGGCAAGCGCGAGGAGTTTCGTTTCCTCGTAGACGGCTTCAAGCCCGAAGGAGAGGGCATCTGCGTGGTAGATACAGACCTGGAGGTGGATATCGAAGCGTTGAATGAAGAGCAGGCACGCGAGACGATGAACAGGATAGCTGCCAAGATGCACCGCGCGCCTGGAACATCACAAGGCAGTTCCACCGGCGGCGCAGTCGACATATTCAACGCGCAACCTGGACAAGTGCTTGACGGCGAGTACGTCGATTACGAATTGACATCCTGGGACCGATCTCAGGGGTTGGAAATCCTGCTAGACGAAGTAGAAGATGGAGATGAGATCGACCTATATGTCAGTCCATACTCGTCACGACAAAGAGTTCGCCCACGCGAAGAGGAGCATGTCTTCGCAAATATAAGAAGCCAATATCCGAAACGCATACGACTGCAGCCTACAAACATCGAGCTTGACGATGCGGAAGCCGTATGGATCTCAGTTCATGCATACCCATCCGAGTCACCCTCAAGCACGCCCAAACCCTTCCGTCTAAAGGTGTCGATTTTCGATCCCAAGACCGAAGCAATGGACGGACTGGACGAGGCTCTTGAGAATGCAAAAGCGGTGGGTCCGGACGAAGTGATCTGCAAAAACTGCCAACAAGTCGTGCCTAAGGGATCGTTGTTCTTGCATGAGAACTTCTGTCTAAGAAATAACATCCTTTGCCCCCAAGGTTGCGGTCAAGTCTTCCAGAAGCGCTCTCCAGCTTTCCAAAACCATTGGCATTGTCCACACGATACGTTCAGTGGCAACACCACATTAAGTCACCGAAAGCACGACGCTCTCTACCACACACCCCAGATGTGCTCCACATGCGACATGGAATTCCCGTCAATGCCCATGCTCTCCCATCACAAAACAACGGTGTGCCCGGGCAAACTAATCCTCTGCCGCTTCTGCCACCTCCAAGTCCCGCAAGAAGGCGACCCCAACGACCAATCCCCCGAACTCCTCCTCTCAGGCCTCACACCCCACGAGCTAGCAG